ATCAGTATTCTCATTCTCATTCTCAGGCGAAATTCACTGATATTTTTGTTTCTTATCTATAAGCTCTGTTATTTTCAAATAGTAGTTTCTCGTCAGCGTAAAATATATTTGATCACCATTTTTAACTCTTGCAAATCGACGTATTTTTCTCACGCGTACACGTTAGATCGCACAAGCTTCTAAATCGACAATGAACCTGGTCAACCCCGGATTCTTAACAAACTGACACATTTGCTGTGTATCGTTTGGCTGCTCGTGAATAGTATAAACATTTTTGTACAATCTAGTTGGCAGGGTTAATCAAAAAGTTCATAATATAAGGAACAGCTAAGCTGTTGTATACCGAATACGAACGATGTGTCAACTTGTCTTTTAGATTTTAAATCTAATGGTTTATTCGATTATTTACATATTGTTCAGGGTAATGTGTAATCGAGTATATCCTTTAAATAATAATTTTGTAAATACCCGCAAGCATCTGATTATCTGTCCCTGCACACCACAGTTTGACTACGCAATCGATCCGGAACAACTGAACTACCTGAAACTGTTGAGCAATCAGGCATCTCAAAAAGTGATCCTCAGATGTGAAGGCAATTCCGAAACCCGGCTTCAGAGTCTTTTGGCTGATGATGATACCATTCTGGCCCGAAATGGTTCACGTAGGCGTTTCCTGGTGCGAAAAGATGACTGCGGATCAGTAAGTTTGAGTGCAAACGAAACCCCTGACTTTTATTTAATGCAGTGGACTCGCAAACCCCTGTATGTCACTATGAAAAAATCTTTGTTGCATCAAGCAAATTGCTTCATTTGTTTTCGACAAGATTGGTACATCACTTACTCATGGTTCGAGTCTATCATTTGAACTTGATTTCAATTACCTCAGCTTTGGTTGAGTTGTACAACAATAGACTCGCCTAACCTCGTTTCTGTTTTTTATTATTTACAGGCAACCAGTGGTGAGACAGTCGCATTCATCAGCGGACGTCCCAGCCTCTTACCCATCCGGGATGTTCAAGTGCAGCTGCGACCAGAAAGCCGGTTCCATGTTCAACTAGGTGAAGCATGTTTCTCACAATAAACCATTGAATTCGGCCAGACCTTTGGCTTGTTTTTCTAATCCCTTCCGGTTGTGACCGGGCCAAATTGATCCGAAGAACAGTTTCAGAGACACCTTAGTGTTATTGTGATTTGCGATATCCTGTACAGGGAAATTGAATCATCAATTCTATGATTTTTGCGTCTAAACTGACTTCTTTTTCTCTCTCTCCACAGATATGGTGAACTCGCGTTACCAGTATTAAGCTAGTTATGAGAACGGTAGTCATCAGACGAACCAAGGGTAGCATGTCGTACATAACGGTTTTTGTTGATTGAATCACTCGTCTAGTTGGTTGCGTAACTAAATAATCGCTTCCGGGTAATCGCTGCTTTGTCCTGGCTGATCGAGGTGACTAGGTGTATTCCCGTTCTCGGAGATAAGACCACAGTGTCAAACAAGCGCTGAATCATCAGCCGAACTCTGGGCGGTTTCACCACGGTTCATGAAGAACTAAGTCATACTGTAATGTTTGACCCTAGGTACAAGCTAATCAGCATTATTTTATCTAAAGGTACTTCCGAGGACCCATGTCTGCTATGTTAGTCAGCCTGAGGAAACATGGGGTTTGGACGACGACTGTCGTCCAGGGTCAAGAGCTCTGCAAGGGTGTATTTAATACATTCGGTTATCTAATTAAATCCCTTCGCGGTCACGTGAAACAATCAATACATGAATTTTTATTATAAGGAAAGCGAGAGCAAAAATATCCCCCGTAAATTACTGAAATATTCATCTATGAACCTCCTCTGTTCACTTTTATGTGGCACCGGGAACAGATGAAACTTATCCCGGAACGATACGCAACGAAACCTGGGAATGGATCACTAACGTTGGATGAAGGTGTTGAATACGAGTTTGATCAGGCAGCTGTATAGAATCCATTATGAGGTATATGGAAAACGTTGAATGACATATTGAAAACAAAATCCAATAGGCGAAACAAACTGCTTTTCGACAATTCATCAACTGTTCATGTACAGCTATTTGAGTAGTGTTCCGGGTTGTTTGCTCTTCCATTTACCACATAGGAATCAGTTGCTAGCTTGACAACTGGTCATGTTACAGATAATGCAAGGACAAGAAATTTTTGGTTACAGAGAGAGGAGGGTGGTCAATCAACAGGATCCCAATTGATTCCGCGGTGCACAGTGAGATCAGGCGTGCTGACCTAGTTAATAATGATGGAGTATGAAAAAAGATCTTGAATTACTGAAGTATGATGTCAACCGATCAACTGAATCGAGCGTGGTGGCTGGGAAAATGTCATAATCAAAGGGAGGCTGGATCAAAATGTTGACGCACTTGGTATGGTTTGGTAGATAGTGCAATAATATCCATCTCACGCCGGATCAAACAATATCTAATGCTCTACTCGGATGCTAGTAAAGAGCCATTTGATGAGCGATCGGAAAGCGGACTTATTCGGAACCCAACCAGCTAGCCGAATCGCAAAGCAATTATATGGTGAACATTATCCCGGTGGGAACATTCAAGGTATTTTCGAAAAAGCTGTTTTAAATGGAACTGTAATTTTTGGAGGGTAAAAAGGTACTTTTATAACCAGAAACATTCTCCTGTTAGTTCATTTATCGATGATTGCTGCATTGCATGATTCAGTATACATAGCTAATGTATAGCAACCACAAATTCAAGAGCTGCATCACTACGATTCAATAAAACACACGGGAAAGATCATACACATCTCGTGTTAACTAACAAAAAGAAGGTACCTGAAATTGTTGGGGATCATCATCTGGACTTTGAATAACTGTGTAATATCACTGCCTTTCCAGTGATGCGGTGTTATTAAGATTAGGAAGATATCCGACCTAATATGTACTGAAGGAACATAGGCATGCCGACCGTCTGATCAGCAACCTTTGTTGCAATTGCTTAATAGGCTGATCACGACTACGGGGTGCTTCAGGCTGTGGTTGAGTTTTTAACAATTTCGCAAAAATAAACTGCCTACTTTCAACTGTGAGTAGTAATGTTAAATTCAGAAAATTCACATTGCCTCAGCCAAGTATTTACTGGATGTCCAAATTTGTCATGATGTCAAACTGTTTGCGGTGGCATTTGTCCGCCGATAAATTTCTGTGTTCACATCAGCCAATCAGTGACGGCGAAGTTAGTGAGTTATTCTTGTGAGGGAATCTAGCTTTTCCAGCAAACTGATATTCTCTCATTGGACAGCTGTACACTCCGTCCTCTTACAGTAATTTCTCACAACTCACTCCTTCCTGAAACTCATCGATCGGTATTTTGTTATTTCAACAGTCCGACACGCTTGTTGGACTCTAGCAATGAAATCGTTGTTCATGTTCTTTAGTGTTCTGGGGTAGTTTAGTAAAAAAAAACACCAATGGGTTATGTACTTACTCAGGAGGGCATTTTGGATCCCCCAGAGAAATGAAGAAAGAGTTATTTCGGGGATTCGTAAAGCACAGTTTGTGACTAGAGCATAAACGTAAGCTTAAACTAATTCAAAGACGTTCCTTTTCATCTATCCCATGGTGAATAGGAAAAACGGTTAGATAAATGTGCGATAATTGGCATTTTATTCACATCTCAATTATCGACCGAACGCAACTACGATCACAACGTTGATACACATTATGGGCCCGTAACCCAAAAATAACTACAGCAACAATGAATTTGAACAACCAAGACTGTACGGATCAAAACCAGGCTATCAATTTAAAAAAAGTTGGCGATAATATATTAACTGATCACCCAACATTTAAACATATGCCGAAGAGATTCGTGAACAAAGCCTGATCCCGACAGGTACAACGGACAGCGACAGTACGACAGAGTCATGATTTTCGCAAGTTGCTTAGTGGAATAACAAAATTTTCCTTTCTCGTCAATATAATGACGTAAATAAATAGTCCTAACAAACAACAGCACATTTGTGCACGATGGATCCATTTCCAATAAGGCTACCGTTTATCTGCCAATGATATTAAAAAAAGTTCTGTGTTGGCTATTCATGGGAAATGAGGACTCCATTTTAAATGGAAAAAACACCATTTATGTTTACATTTACAATCTTTAAACAAGCAGGCGTAAAAACAAATATCAGGAAAATGTAGTTATTTCAAAATGTCTAGTTTTTCTTCGGCTGGTTAATATTGCCTTCAAGTTTGTCTGAACGTCTTACAATGCCCCAAAACAGAGGAACAACATCCAGCGCAGTAAACCGGATTTCGTGAAAAGTCTCAGCATTAAACTACGCATATCAATCTACCTTATTATAACTAATCCAACTCAGTCCGATAAGGTAAATTATACTTGGTTTCGTTCGTTCGGATCAACGGTCAAGGACCAAAGTTCCCAGGGGACTAAGAGCCAGGTTTCGACCCCCAAGAAAACCGTGTTAGAACACGGTAACGCATCCGCAAAGTACTTTTATTTGTCGACAGGAAGGTCAAATAATTTCAAATGAACTGTTATTTTGATAGCCTCGGTTCAATACGATCCGCGTGACAGTGAAAATCTCGATCAGAACGCTAATAAAGGATTCATTTGAAATGGTACCAGATTCAGACAAAGTTACAGCGGTTATACTTGAAATCCAAATGTTAAGGTGCCGAAAATCTGTTCTTTGAAAAGAATCACTTATTCATTCAAAAAATGAAAAAGATCAATGTGTGATTTGAATGGGTCCTAATCTGGTTCGATCCGGAGCAAAACAGTGCTGCACATCAGGAAAAAAAAGAATTTTATGAGGACATATGACACGGTATATTTACACGAAGGAAGAATCATTGTATCACTGTTCAGTCTCCGTCATTTGACGCCACTGAACAACCCAGTCGGATATGCGCTGAGCATTTTGTTCCAAATCATCCAGGGAATTGCTCGGTAGCTCGGTCACAATTTCCTCGCGATAAGACTCGCGTGCTTCATCTAGCACCACCTAAGGAAAAATTGACAGACAAAGAGGAAGTATTTGACTGATTTCAATTAACAGTGGGGAGCAAAAACGAACATAGCACAGGACTAGATCGACAACGAGAACTAGACATCTTACTGCTTGTCAAAGTACGTTTAAAAGTATTGCAGAACAAATACCTTGGCACAAATCAACAGAGGTTTCCAATAACTTAATTAAATGCCTATTTCTATCTGTATCTTGATGTATAGAAAAGTAGCGTATGATTAAGCAGTCGGTATCTATGAAGAGGCATTTAATTCAACAGTTTTCATGAGAATGAATGTTACTATTTGTTTTAATTTCGACTGCCATAGAGAGCAATGTACAAGAATCTTTAGAAGAAAGAAATGGTTCCTGGGCGCGATACTGCCCGACCCTAAATTAAAGCAGGAGATTTTCTTAGAGATTCACAACCGAGACCTTTAGTTAGATAGTCTCACCCGGAATGCGATGGCGCGGTGAATGGAAACCATACACGGCCTCGCTTATAGTGGTTATACGTGTACCCTCACCCACTCCACCCACCTCACAAGTCTTCAACAGAGTATCATAATGATAACATCATCGCCATAGTCCACCCTGTTTTTTTTATTCTATTGCATCGACAAGCACCTTCGCTAAAAGTGCCTTGCAAGAGATAATGTGGTAAAAAAAGATCACTTCCAAAAATGTGTTTCTCAAAAATCAACAAAATTACACTACAACCGCTGCATGACTATCCAAACCGGCGATCATCGCGGGTGATTCTCCTACACGCCTTTCAAAACCTGCCGTGGACCTCTAAGTTAATGGAGTCTCTTACTGTACTCTAATCGACAATGGGAGTTTAGCAAGCTGCCTTTGAGAGTTCAGTACTCAACAATACGTGGATGACGTACCCATACAAAGAAACCACCATAATCGCGTCAACTTCTCTATCCAGCAGTACAAGATAGTCACCTTTTCATCTCCATCAAATACAAAAACCATGTCTATGAACGCTTCAGATTATCAATACTAAGCAATCTATGCTCGGACGCTCTTCCTGGACATGGCTTCCTCGGCCTTCACAAGAGCGTTCCTATATTAGTTGGCGGAGAGAAAATTCCACTTACGGTCTGCTTACTCAGGCCTGTTTCCGGAACTCTTTCAGAATCTGCCTGTGCACTGTAAGATTGTGGCTAAAAAATCCCGACAATACAGCGGGGGAAGACCAGAAATTTATGAACGAAGAAGTAAAACAACTCCTGTTTGACGGCATCATTGAAGCCTCCAACTGGCCGTGGCGCGCTCATATCCTGGTGGTCAATAATGAGAACCACAAACGGCGAATGGTGGTTAACTATCACCAGCCAATCAACACGTTCACCAGCATCGGATGCATATCCACCTACCAGAATCAACGATATGACGGAGAACATAGCTAAATACACCTTTTTAGCACTTAGCACCTGAAAAAGTGCATACTATCAAATACCTATTCGGGAATCATGTGTATGTTTACATCTATTTCGTCGTATTCCCTTAAAGGTTATCAATGACATTTTATGTTTCCAGAGAGCTATCGATGAGATAATCTTCCTTGAAAATAAGAGAGATACGTTTGTCTAAGTGGACAACATTATTGTGTGTAGGAGAAACACACTGGAACACGATCAGGAAATCAGGGATTTTATGAATACTGCCAAAAATGGCTCAACGTTGAATCAGGAGGGGTGCCCTGTCGCGTTCTTCTCTAGGACATTAGCTCAAGGAGGTAAACATCATTCGGCTTTAGGGAAAGAAGCGTAAGCCGTATTTGAAGCCCTTTGGAGCCATTCCAAACCATTTCAAACTCATCACCGATTAGTGATCTGTTTCCTTCGGTTTCGGAAGTTATTTTAGCACCGTGGGCTTCCAGCTACGTTTCTCTTGTAGAAAAAGTTGAACATCTACAATGCAACCCATTTTCCGCACACGACCGATTCTGAAACGGCAGACAAGATACCGTGCCAATTCGACAGTAGGCACCAAAAACCATAGAGATTACGAACGCTCAGGACGAAGATATGCCAGCGCCAAACTTCGAAGTAAATACCAATAAAGAACCTTTGTTAAATATACCTGATACTGACATTACTAACACATACGGTAACACCCACATAACCTCACACCGACAAACCCGGTCTCCTCGATGATTTAGATACACCAATACGACAACAAAACCGAGTGTGACCATATTGCTTACGAAACCGATGCTCGGTGAACATTCTAAATGCTTTTATTTTCGCAAACATACATCTCACATTCATCAAATGCTGGGAGGAATGACACAAAACCACATATATCTGTTTTTTATTTCATACTTTCTTTTCCTCTTTCAGCTTCTATACGTCGCCACCATCAATAATTATCATGTGAAGCGAACTTCGCCGATTGTTGCCCGGTTCACAGTGAATGTACGGTGTATGTTGAATAAAGCCTGACGTTTGGACCTCCGTCGTACTGGTTTCTCGTGTATTCTGCATTGATACTACAGATATCATCAGAAATATATGACTAAGAACCGGAACCAAAGTAACGAGTTCTGCGAATGCCGTGACCGCCCCAACTAGGTATGTACAATCACCTTTGTGCGTATTGATTGGAATATCAATGTCCGCATCCCTGCCGAGGACAAAAACAGATGTGAACTGTAGGTTTTACGAAGGATAATACCAAGCCGGGGCTTTTTGGCCTCCGCAAGCCACAGTATGGTTACCAGGAGGGTCTCGGGTTGTGGCCCGTCAGTCTTCCCTTACACCTCACTAAATGTTCACATTCAACCAAGCGTCCCCGAAAGCCCTGCTCACTGCCTTCGCTTAGGGGTATTTTCCCACCACAGTGAGGGGACGAAAAGCCAATATCAGGGGCTATAACCGGATCACTGAACCAACAGT